CATTTCGTCGACAATTTCCTTTGCATTCCTCCAACCATTGCAGCGAACATCTTTGCACAGCAGTGTCTGTACGCTGCAGTTGGCGACCTATTGCTCGGTATGATCACCCAGCTTCACGCAACCCTACAATGCGACCATGTTCGAAGTCGTTTAGTTGTCTGTAAAGTCTTCGATATCGTCGTAATGTCATCTTTAGCTGGTTCTTTACGGAATTACAATGGCAGCAACAAACAAAAAAAAAAAAAAAAAAAAAAAAAAAAAGATAAATTTTACGCCTCTGTTTTACTGGTTTTATACTTTGCGAATTGCGCGTTATGATAGCAATCCCTGCCTTGTTCATTTGCCTTGAAACTTTGATCATTTGCATGTTCGATCAAGATGATTTTGTATACCAAATTTCGTCGCGTCACGATCGCGAAAGTCTTTCTTGGTGCTTCGATTTTTTTGCAAAAGAGTGTATATAATACTATATAATTAGTTTTAACTTATCTAAAAAACTATGTAAATATGTACATAAGATTTCTAATTCTTCTTCAGTTATTTTAAGTGTAGTAATTCGAAATGGCTTATCTATTCGATTAGGAGTAGGGTCTTGAACCAGGCACACTAGTGCTACACCTTGGGTACTTTATACGAACAACAAACCACGATTACACTGCACTTCCTATGTATGTAGACGATACTGCGACCCTAGCAAAAAATGCATACTTAGATTGTCTTTCAATGACTTCAAATTCACATTCATGCACAAGAGACCTGCTTTCAGAAATGGAAAATTATCCTCAACCTTGTTACGAGGTGGAGGCAATCCGGATGGCAGCAAATGACATTGAAGTTTCTATTTTAAAGTAACAGAATATAGCAGTAATATTTCTATGTTTTACGACTCTTATTGTGCTAAATAAGAATTTTATTAATATGAATGTTGCCATAATACTGCACTAATAAGAAAACAAATAATACTAGTAGAAGTGTAGAGGCAGACAGATAAATTTTAAACACAGAAGCATGAATAATGGGAAAAAAATAAATGAAATATTCATTACTCATACAAATCAAAATGAAAAAAATCTGTGCTATGATAACATTAACGAATTCTATGACAGAAAAAGTCTTAAAAAGTTAGATGATTTCAAACTGCTAGAGAAGTTTGGTTGAAATTACATAAATTACTTGAAGCATCGTCAGAAAATAAACGGTGCAGGCAGTTTTCTCAGTTTAAGTTGAACAAGAAGAAGGATAATATGGCAACTAATCTTTACAAATTAAAGAATTTATGGAATGAGTTGAATAAAAGCTATAAAAGAAAAGAAAAATAAGTTTTCTGATATGCTGCTGAACTGCAAGATCTAAAATAGTTTACCCAAAGTTCATTTAAATCAAGCCGGTTACTCTTGAATGAAGATAAATGAACAGTTAATGAGTTAACAGCACAACTTTACTTTCATGAAAGAGAATTTAAAAATCACGAGAAAGGCAATATATGAGAAAAAGATCACATTAGTAATGTCAAAATTTGAAAAACAAAAGCAGTATAAGAAAGCTCAAATTGAAAGGACAAGAAGCATTTATTTCAAGTATATATGACAATGGGTAAAAGATTGAAAACAATGGACTTCTAGTTGAATACCACGCAAGAATAGGTCTGTAAGAACCACTGAAGAAAACACTGCCAATGTAACACTGATGCTCATTCGCTAGGGACGTCTGAGATGAGACTGAGCCAATGTCATTTTGGAGTTACAACAGAGCTACAAGACATGTCAAGAAGTGTTCCAAATGTTTCATAGTCCTTGTAGCGTTATGGCTATTCGCAAAGATACTTTAGTTGCACATGGAAAAGGCACAGTTTGAGTCAAGACAACTATTGTAAATAAAAGCCAAAGCGTCTACCAAAAAGATGTCTGGTATGTACCTGAGATGAACAGTGCATGTTGCCAAAGCAGACAACTTATATATATATATATCATCAATATAAACATCACAGTAAAGACATGCTTGAGAAAGAATGATACATTAAAATGACATTCAACAATAAACTGAGTGAACAATATATTTATGATACAGCACACTGGTCATCTGTTGGGATAAGAAAGAAGGCTAGGTGAATTAAGTTCAGTTGGCATCTGTGGACCTTTTGATTAATCTTTTCAGAGAAAGAAGATATTTAGTTGTTTGAAGGCAGTTATACAAAATTTCAGTATGTCTGTTTTATGAACGAAAAGTCTGAATTCCAAATACGTTAAAGAAAATGGTTGCAAATGATAAAAAATTGGGACCTTCGTTTCGGTGATAATGAAGAAGAGTTTAAAAGTGAAAATATGCATGTCTTCATAGTGTAACGGTAGCCCACTCCGTGCGTATTTCGAAAGGTTCAGGTTCGAGTCCTGGCGAGGGCATTGCTAATTTTTCATGTTTCTTACTTCAAAAATACCTAATGTCTATATAAACCCTCTATAAGGAAGTAAAATTTTGTATAAAACGATGGCTTCTCTATTCATTACACATGAAAATTTTTACTAGCTTCTAATGTATCTGATTTGGGGTTGGATGCATATTGGAAGAAAAGAAGTCAGGGTAAAAAATGAGAGTCACTTTGGAATTATAATCAAGAAAATGCCATTTCATGACATTTTGCAAAACTCTGTAATTTCAGGGCCAAATCCGTAATGCTTGGAGGGTTAAGGAAATGAATATAGTAAAGAAATATCTGAAGATATATCATAAAAACATTCTGAAGAACAAAAGTGTGAAGACATTAATTTGCAAAATAATGCACAACCAAGACACTTAATAAGTAGAAATGAATTGAGAAAGCCAGTGCGTTTTAAAGATTACATAAAGAGAGGCGAAGCGTTTACTCCTGATTCCACAGCGCCTGATATTTATAAAGAAGCTATCAATTGTGAACAAAATGTACACTGGAAAGAAGTTATGGATTCAGAGCTGACTTCACTGATGGAAAATGAAACATGATAAATTCAAGACTAGACATGTTGCTAAAGGGTTTATTCAATATGTTGAAGTTGGTTACGATCAAACAAATGAAAAATAACTGCCCCTTAAATTCTCAGTATTGCAATAAACAAGAAAACGCATTTACTCAGTTCAGTGACTGGACAGCATTTTTTATGGGGAACACTTCAAGAATCTATATACATGCAGCAACCAGAAGGATGTAGTTCTGATAAAGTAAGCTGAAATGCAGTTTGTAGGGACTAAAACAAGCATCATGCTCTAGGAGAAATATTCTAGAGACTTTGTGCCACAACTTCGCTTCAAAAATACCCATGATCCATGCTTGTACATAAGAAACAAAAATGGCAATAAGGTAATTATAAGTTAATATGCAGATGATGGTTTGGTCGCATGAACGGACTTGCAAGAATCTGGAAAATTCATCAGAGGATTGAAGAAGGTATTCAGAATCACAACGAAAGCCACAGTATATTTTCTTGCACTTGAAATTAAGCAGCTTAAATATTGAAGTATCAAAATTAATCAGCAAGCTTATGCCCAAAAATTCTTCATAAATTTGGGATGGAAAATTGCGAACCAGTATCAGCTCCCATACTGAAGATCTAACAAAAAAAGGAAGATAAGCCTAAGACGGAAAATGTCCCTAATAGAGAAGCTTTAACAGCTTTAATATATCAAATCTTAGGTACAAGACCAAATTTAACATAATGTGTTAGCATTCTTTCATGCCATCTTGAACATTCTTCAAAAGACAACTGGATCAAAGAAAAGATTTATTCTCCTTGATTTATTCAGATGTACAGCAGGATTTTTTAATAAAGGTATGACATTCAAGAATAAATAAAAACCAGAAGTGATGCAGATTTTGGAGGATGTCAAAACATAGAAAAATCTGGAAATCTTGTAGTGATACTGAATAGTGGTGGATGGCCAAAGGCTATCAGTTGTTGCTACTTTAACAGCTGATGAAGAGATAACTGCAGCTTTTGGGTGTTCTAAAAAAGTCACTTGTTTAAAATGATAATTTAGTGATGTTATCAAGTTACATGAAATTCCAGTTTTTCAAGTAGATAACACTACTACAGTCACACTGTCACAAAATCTATCAATGAATAAAATAAACTGATATCAAACACTTTTCTCACCAAAGAAAATTTTGATAAATCAGATCACTCTGCAACAGATATCTGCAGAGGAGCAAATTGCTGACATAATGACTAAACACTGTTGATGCTTTACTATAAGGTGGGACACTTGAGACTTTCTCTTCTTGTTTATTATTAACTTTTTTTAATTGATAAGGGAAAGTGTTACATAAGAGAAGAACGTATAATTTAGTTTTAAAATTTTGGCAACACAGTGCTTTTGCTATCATTCTGAGTTAACTTGCCCACTTGAGCTTTGCAATATTGAAAAATTCTATGATGTTGTAGAGACATTACGATTTTTTGGAAGCAGGCAAGACGAAAAATTAGCAACCGCCTTCGCCGGGAATCGAACCGCGAACGTCTGGAATACCGGCCCAGTGTACAATACCACTACACCATGAAGGCACGCTAGGAAAGTAGGAGAAATACCTTATAATGTAGTATTTTTAGTAATTCCAATGTAAAATTCTTGTTTTCTCTTTGCTATTTATTTTTATTTTAGTTTCATAAACACTTTTTAGTGGATACCAATCTAAATATTGTCCATTAGTAATAATCATGAAGTTATAATTATTACAGAAACAGCCATGAAATTATAATAGTTGTGTTTAACATATCATACCAGATTACATCTTTTCCCTGACTCAGACCCTGGGAAATGAGAGGTTAGTAAACAGAGTGGTTTCATTTCTTAGAAATCAATGCTTATAAAATATATATCAAATATTCAGTAATATAAATATTAAAATTTTACATTGCAAATCCTATATTTATACTTGAATGAAATATGAATGGGTAAAATTTCCTTTCCGCCAAATATTATTAAGTTTCCGCTTTAATTGAGCATTAAAGAGTTAAAACGAAGATAATTACCTATATCAGGAACGATACTATGGCCAAGAAAGCCCCAAAATTGTCCTGTTCTACCAAAACCAGTTTGTACCTGCATAAATACATATTCCATACTGTAAAAGAAGTTCTTTGTATTGATTCAATAAATACTAAATTTTGTTTTCTAAAACAGCTAACACATTTGCTTTGGTTCAAGACAATATTTCAATATATTGTAGAAAATTCTTTAAGGAATGAATTACTTAATGATATTAAGAAAACGTAAAACACTTATTATTAAACTCTTACTACTTCTTATTAAATTTTTTTAGCATTTTATTTAGTGCCTGTTTTTAATCTTATACATTAAAAAAAGAGTCAACTTTTTCTGTAATTTATTTGAAATCTTAATACCTTGAAATTTCATATGATTTCTGTAATTTCCAGGCTGAATTTATGTATTTATTTCATGCTCTTGATTATGTAATCTAACTAGATTTGAACAAAAATCTCTCAACATATTAAATCCTAGATGTTATAAAAATCTACATTAAACTTTCAAAGAGTAAGAAATAAATAGATTTGCAACTATTTACATAATATTGTTATAAAAATACAACCAAATACTTTTTATTAATAACTATACCATACTCATCCATATTCTCATACAGATAGTATTATAGGAACATAGTAGCTCCAGAAATACTATCATAAAACAGGTTGCATTCAGAGTTTGCTCTCTTTGTTTAACAAGGTATATTTCCATGAATGTTTTAAGAAGTTTTCCAAGATTGGAATTATTTTCCGGCCAATAAATCTATATCACTAAGAATATATAAAATGTTTTAAATGCATTCAATATTTCTTGAAGACCCATGGTCCTAATTTAGGAAATCGGGTGTAAGAGTACCATTAAAGTAGCACACAAGTAAACCATATATAACAGGGATGGCCAAACTTCGTGTTTATAAGAGCCGCATGTTCAAATTCAGAAAAGTTCAAGAGGGGCAACGAGATTTACGAAAACTGCAAGTCCATATTTACATCATTTTAAAAGTAGTAAAACAGGCTTCAAATGGAAAGAAACGTCTGATTGTAAAAAATCACTTAACGACAGTTAGTCTTCATGTGATTATGTGCAAAAGACGATGCAAAGTTTTGCAGTGTCCTTGTTTTCTGTAATTACAGTTCGATGTGATAAAACATACTCACTTTCACTTTTTAAATACTCTGACTCTTCGGGATATCTTTTCGCAAATGTTAAGCAATCACAGCTTTGTGATGTTTACGAAATTTTGGATTGGTCTTAAATCTGTGCCACAGTGACTCATTTGTTTGTAATAGATTTTTTTTCTGCTACCTTAAAATTATCTCATAATTCCCCTGCATGCTCGTGCCACAGCAAGCAAGCTGTTTGTCTGTTATCTTCAAATTTTATGGATTCTGGAAGTTTTCAAAAGGTTATTTTGTCTTCTAAACTGTCACTGTCACCATATTTACTAAAAATTCCCAAAGCTTTCACCTGCTATAAATTTCTCGTTAATTCGGACGTCGACTCAACTTCTAAATAAATTTTAACTTGTATCAAATTCTGTAAGATATTAAATGTTTCTGATGCATTCCATGCTTTTCCTGTTCCGCTCATAGACCACCGCTACTAATGATTCAGAAATTCGGCAGTCTCTTCCTGCAGAGCATGCACAAGCATCCATCGATACATTCGTAAAATAATCACAAGCAAATCTAACTTTTAAACATTTTCTTTACACATTTGTTTGATAGAATCAGTAAAGTATCTTTATTACAATTATTATTATTTTGTTTTAGAATAACATTATTAAGATTATCCACTAACATGACATAAAATAATTATGCTTGGACACTGATCAGTTTATTAAAAACTTTGAAAAAAATGAAATAAATTACTTGCCTTTGGGCATTGAGTAGTTTCAATTTACCATATTTCATACATATATTTTATTTGTGTAAGAGCAGCACAACTCGCCTGGCACAGCCTCACAATCCTATAGTCACCTTGGTATATAGCAATAGCATCCCCACACAGAGGCAGAAAAGAAAGTAACATATAGCAGGTATAAAGCATTACAATTGTGTTTGCTTTACAGATCTTATTCAGAACTTTACTGCGCACATGCTTTGTGCAGCTTTTTGATTTCTCAATACTTTCTGAGATTAAAAACCTGTTTTAATAACAGGAATTAACCATGAAATTAAAATAGTTGTGTTTAATATATCATACCTGTCTAATAACAGGAAATAACCATGGTTCCATAGGTTCAAAACTTTCGCATACATAGAAAATTAATCTCCCCAACAACTTTTACGTTTGAGGCTTATTTAACGACAATTCATTAAAGCGGCCATTGCAAGAAGTCCCAAAGATTTATGCATTTATACTGTTACATGCCAACATTATTTATTTCAATAAAATGTTTGTATTCAGCTCTCATCCGAAATTTTTTCCCAGGAACTGGACATTTCCTTAAACATGTATTAGACCTTCATGTTTGTGTTTACTTAATTCTATAAGTAATTTACTCACCAATAACAGCCTTCGAATAAGGCAGGCACAATGAGTTTCCCCCACGGGTGAGAACTTCTCATAGAAAATGTACAGATATTTAATTTCTTAATAGAAATGTGAAAATACTCTTGCTTATTTCCTGATTATAACTGTCCTAAGAGACTACTCAGAAGGTCATGTAAGTCTAGGCCTCTTGTAAAACGCTGCTTGTTTGAAAAGTACTGCTCTCTGAAGGAGACAGATGGAAGTTTTTCGCATTGCACTAGCCGCCATCCACAATAGACGCATTTCATGACAACTGTTCAATGATTCTCAGTTAACACTTAGGAACCCTGACATTTTGTACTGCATATCGGTAATACGATATTTATTCAAGTTATCTAGTTTTGATACTTTATAGTGAATAAGACCGAGCATTTCCTTATTGATATCCTAAACATGCGAAAGTTATTTGTCAGAGTCAAGACGAACATTTTTACTTGTACCCACTGTTCATGAAAATCGAATTCTTCATAAGCAAGCCAAATTTGAAGCTAATGTAGCTGATAAACTCAAGTGGCCTCAGCACGATTTAATCATTCTTATGGATACAAAAAAGATTCACGATCGACAAATTTAGTATTTCTGATAAAAGAAACCCAAGAAACCGAAAACTAACGATACAGTTCACTTCAAAATAAATAAAGAAAAGGTTAAAGCATCAACCAACTGACTGCAATTCCAATTACAAAGGTGACAATCACACGACGGCAAGACACGTAACACGGAAGAAGCTACAGGCTGCAAAATCTCAAATCATACAAATTAAGACAAATGCTCGGACGAAGGCTAAATTTTTAGCCTTTTCTTGAAAGAAAAAAGCTAAATAAACAGGTTTTCTGCTTATGAGATATGCTAACAATCAAGCACATCTACTATGTCGTCGCAAGATTAGCAGATGAAACCACTACCTGCTGTGACAGATGAACTTTGACATCGCATCAAAATCAGATGTCATAAGGACTAATCGGACGTACTAGGTTAAACAACTTTAGGACTTGCCAGATGCAGCAACTGTTTAATATGGTCACATTAAAAATATTAAGTTGCCGAAGATATAGGATTTAGAAGATTTGATCATTACAGATCCTGTAGAGAGAAAAAAAAATAAGATCCTTGATCCATTTCGGGAAAACCTAAGAGATATGTGAAAAACAACGTTATGAAGCAGCTTTGGCGTTGCTAGCTGAACATCCTGCTCTTTATTATAAGTAAATAACAGAATCAATACTTCGCTTAGTTAAAAAAAACATTTATTAACTGAAAATAAATTTGAAGCCTACAATGCTGTATTTCAACAAGTGGGAATTAAAAGGCATTATAGACACTATTCTAATGCAGCGGTTTTTGAAGCTTAGTCATTATCTCCTTGACACGCCTGTTATCAAACCATCCAACAGTACTACTAATGTTCGGTCAGTGTTCGACACTTCTTTCAAGTGACCTGGATATGCTTCTTTAAATGAGTGTTTGACTGAGTCTGATACATCAGATACCGCCACTATTGCTGAGATTCCATTTAGGTACCTTGGAAGTAGTTGTTGACATAAAACAGGCTTTTCTGCAAATAGGTTTAAGGGCTGAAGACAGCAATGTACTCGGGCTTTTTGTGGTGGAATGATGATGAATGATTTATAGACACTAGGAAGTGGTTTTTGACAACTCTTTCAGTCCTTTTCTTCTGAATGCCACAATAAAATACCATTTAGGATTACAGGAATTCCACACAGAAAACTTTCAAAACATAATAAATACATTGAGAGAAGGTTTTTTTTTTTTTTTTTTTTTTTTTTTTTTTTTTTTTTTTTTTTATTCTGACAACCTAGTCACAAGTATTAATGATGTAAAAGAAATGGATCAATTGAAACCTCAAGCTTTACAAGTAATGAATGTAGCATCATTTGAAGAGATCTTGGACACACAATGGAGTTCAACATTAGGAAAGTCAAAGCGTACTTGGTCTTAAATGGGATACAGAGACCGATGAACCTTACTTGCATTGGCCATAAGGTGACATTGAATTTAGTGCAGTTGTTATGACAAGAATGTTACTTTCCCTTGTAGACAGCATAAACGATCCCATGGGCTTCATGTCACCTGCAATACTATTGCCAAAGTTACTACTCTAAAAAACCTGGTGCAATAAGTTGGACTGGAATGAAATTACGCCATCATCATAAATTATATTTTGCAGATAAAAGTAGAATTCCTCCAAGTTCCAACATACATGGAACTTTCAAAAACGGCCAACTTACACATATTTACTGATGCTTCATCTCAAGGGTACGCTTATTGTGCTTTTCTATGCTGTGAAGAAAAGGGAGAAGTGAAAGCCTTAATGATTTTGACAAAGGCCATAATAGCTCCTATTAAGAGGCTGACAATCCTGTGACTGGAGCTCTTAGGAGTTGTCATGAGAGATAGACAATATTAGAAATTTAGAATTTTCCTTTGAAGATATTCTTTTGGATAGGCTCGATTGATAGTTTTGGCATGGATTGTGAATAAAGAACCATGGAACACCTTCGCAGGAAATCGAGTGAAGGAAATCAAGGAAGTGACCAATATAAAGGATTTCAGACCCGTTCCTGAAAAAGTCAGCTCAGCAGACTTGCCTACCCGAAACTGCGACTAGTTGAGCCTTCTGTAGAGTCAATGGCGGGAGAGTCCAACCTGGTTGTATAGAAGTGAAGAGCCTTGGCTAATGTCAGAATTATCTGTTCCAGAGAGGAAGCACTTCTGGAGCGACGCAAAACAGTTGTCACGAATCTAATCATTGAGAAGTAAAAGAAATTTAGCGAAAGATTTTTGTATTTTTCAAGTTACAAAACGATTCTCCACAAAGCTGCTTATATTTCGAGATTTTCATGAACATGAACTGAAAAAAACCATTTGGAAAATTACATTTTGGCATCGTCTTTCTTTTAAAAATAACCATGGCTTTTTTAACAGTACAAACTGTTCGCTAAACTGGAAAGTAATATCGTGAGGTGAGATTCTGTGTGACCTGTTGTTTTTAGGCGAACGCTTTTTATTCCTTTCATATCAATTGTTTTACTTCCTATCATATCAAATACTATTACCCGAGTTCCATCCGTATTTCCAATATGCGACACTAAATATTTTTTTCTTTTTTTGCCTCTGTAGTCAATAACATATTTCTGGAAACTTATCAATTTTTTTTTCAAATCTTTTGGAAGCCCTTGCAAAACTTTTTTTTCTGTAGAACTAAATTATTTTGAGCCATAAATCAACTACACAAACTCAAAGTTCCTTTAAAATTTTAACTTTCATTTGCCCTCTTTTTTTGTCCACTTTAAGGCAAATAAATGTACGCTGCTTCCCGTAACAATCAATGCTTAAATTGTGCCGGAGCCCGGCTCCGGTACTTCTCAATGTTTAAGATAAATTACAATTTTAGCCGGAGCGCACCAGAGCCCTAAATAAGATGAGCTCCGGTACTTCTTTTTATAAAACTGAGCCACAATTTAAAGGGAAAAAAATTTAGAATTCCTAACGTTTTAGTTTAACAATAAGCAGATCTTGAAATACTCTATTTCCCTAGAAATATGAACTCATAGAACATGAGACGTTCAAGTAAAGTCCCCTCACTCACATGCGGAAACCTTTCCCTTTACGAAGGGCAATAAATATGCGAGGAGTTTGTTTATCAACGCGTAAATTTCTCGCCATGCCATCGTATCTAGTGTATTGTTATCGATGGTTAGTTATCCTCGCAGGAAGGAAAATTTGTGTTCTTAAATGTGCGTTAAGTGACAGCGAATACAATAAGAGTGAAAGACTGAGATAAACTGCTCAAACACGTCCTATACATCGTCTTCCTACAGTGGGGGAAATGTGGCGGGAAAGTGTAAACAGCAACTTTACATTCATCCTTAGAAGTCAGATTCAGGACTCATTTTACCCCTGGTACACATCTGCTTAATGGCTATAATTATATCAGCAGAGAGCCGCGGTTAAAGAGAACGTTCTCTCTCACCAAGATTCCCTTCATTTTTTGCTTCCACCCACTCATACCCTCATTCTGTTTCGCCCTGGAATTTTCATCAGCTATACTTTAAGTATATTTAATTTTTGTGATGATAAAAGAACTTTTTCACCCTCTACGATCAAAGCCTGAATTGGGCCGGATCCCACTAGATATCGGCTCCAGTGCTTCTTAGTTTTTGTAATAAAATCATAATTCTAGCCGGAACGCACCGGAGCCTGAATAAGAAGACTCGGCACTTCTTTTATGTATTTGAATAACAATTTCAGCAGAAATTTTATCTCGAAAATTTAATTTGAACAATAAAATTATATTAAAAATCGCTTATTAAATTTCAATTTATCTCTTTACATTTTATTTAATTTTAATTATTTAATTACTTCAATCTTTAATTAATTTTCAATTAAAATAAAAGAATTGATTATCTAATAATTATCGATTAAATTATAATTAATTATTTACCTAATAATTATCAATTAAATTACAATTAATTAATTATATAATAATTATTGATTAAATAACACAATTTATAAACATTAATTAAATAGCTATTCATTAATTTGATAATAATTAACTATTTAATTTAAAAATTATTAATGAGTTTAGTCATTTTATTTATTTATTTACTCTTGTTCCTCTTTGCTGACGGGCTCCGGCACTTCTAATCTTAGAAATTAAGCCCTGGTTATAATTCATACATTCTGATGATTTTCCAGGACGAAGTTCACAATACTTTCTTCTAAGATAGGCCATTTGATTACTGCTTTATGCAAAGCACATTTATTCTTTGGCGATTTAATTATTGTGGTTTCATTTTTCTTCCACTCAAATATGGAATTTTCACCAACACCAAATATCCTTGCTGCAGCACAATTTCTATTTTCTTTTGTGGAACGAACGACTTTGCATTTAAAACCAGAACTTTGTCTGTTTTGTTTGGTAGCAGCGGTATTTACTACTGAAAGGAACACTCTATAAACTGTATTTCAACTAAAGCAAATGGGATTTTTATTGTTTCCCTTATCCCTTGTCATTTCAGTATACAATTGTTTGAAAGCCTGGGAAAAATTTTAAATGAATGACTTTAAAAACTAACAGTATTGCACACTATCTTTTAGGCTTTTTATAAAGAAACGGGTTCATGCTGTATGGCGAATGTACCTAAAAATTTTAAAAAATGTAGTTTGAAATTAGAGATGCGCATTATACGCCAGAACGTACAGTAATTACACTATTTATATTATTCTATAAACTATACTCTTACTGTAAAGTGATCTCAACTTAATCTGTATGCATGGGATGCTAGCAAAAGTAATACATAATGCTTAAAATAATACAGAAAGTTGTAGGTGCAAGATTTTTAGATAAGTAAGATATAAAGGTGTGAAAAATGATATACACTCATAGATAATACAGAAAGTTTATAATACCCATATATCAATAAAATTTTCATAATATGCAAAACTTACAACAATATTCTCGATGCTTAAATTTACTATTAACTTACTAATGATTACTAATAATTTTGACCTGAAATAATGCTTGTAAACAATAGCAAACTGCAAATTAAACTGATTTCTACTGCCAAACCAGAATGAAAAAAAATAAGCAATTATGGCATTTTTATTCAAATTACACTTACCTCATCTGAAATAAAAAGTCCTCCACGCTTATGAATGATTTCCATAGCTCTCTTGAGATAATTCCTGGGAAATTGAACAGTTCCCCCGACACCCTTCAAGGGAAAAAATAAATAAGTAGTCATAAATATTTTAATCGTGGAAAGTATTTAATTCTGTGTAATAATTAAAATGCAGAACACACTTATGCAAACACACTATAAAATATCAATAATTAAAAACGTTAATTATTATTCTACCTGTATACTCTCAGCAAAAAAGCCAGCAATTTTTTTTGGCACTGAAGAATCTAGAACTTCTTCAAGTTGTTCTATATACTTATCACAAGCTTGGCAGCATCCAACACCACAAGAACATTTTCGATCAGTCTGAACCGGAGAATCTCGGCAATCTGAGCCACCCCAAAGCCCTCTGTATGGGTCAGGATTCATCACCTTTACAGTAAAAACCACTTATGAAACACAAGATAAGATTTATAAAAGCAATTTTTTAAATATAATATCCAGAATGGGAAGTACATTTTTCAGATAACGGTTTGTTATTAAGCAAAATTCCTTAAAATGCGTAACGGTAATATAAATTTTATCAAGGTCACCCTTCTCCTTAAAACACATAAAATCTCTATTTTAGTTTACCAGTTATCAGCTTCATAGAAGCAGAGGGCATATACACATACCATGCATTCAAAATTACACATGTAATAGAACAAATAAAAAGTTTATAGTACGAAAAGGATTTTCTATTGTTTTAATGTTCCATAATTCTTTTTTTACATTTTAAAATTATTAAGAGAAAATATTTTCATAAATTTACAGAGAATTCCACTTTTCCCCCTACCTTCTGCATAATCCTTACCTTATACATACATGGTGCATGCAGATGATTTAAAAAGCAAGATTAAAAACAGTATTTCAAAGAGTACATCCACAGGGTTTTCGGAAGTATGGCAAATTTACTATGCACCACACCTTTGAAATGCAATTTGTTAATATATGCTTGCAATCCTTACCTTGGACTTAAATTATTGTAATTAACTCTAACATAATTTATATAAGTGGTACTTAAAAATTTGGGTGAGTTTTAACTACTAGCTTAACCAAACACGTAGGGTTATCACGTAGGGTTAAACACGTAGGGTTACTATTAATATTCACTAACCAGTTATTTTACATTTTGGACCTTGACTATCAGTTCCTGTTTCCCTACGAGAATATAAATGAGACAGAAAAAGTTAATATTTAAAGCAAAATTTGAGCGTTTAATTCAAAGCGTATTCTGCCTCTCAAAGCCACATTACTAGGTTAGCTAACTCAGATAATATTGCATTATTCGGCTTATTTACAGTTGCATATATTTAAATTGTTATGCCAGTAAGTTTTGAGCCAACTTCGTATTAATTTGATTTTCATAATTTTGGGTTACTAGTTTATTTCATTTAAATGTGTATTTGACTGTTATCTTAAGTCATCTCGTCAAAAGAGGCTGGCGAAGTTTGTATACACCAATAGTGCATTATGCACAAAGTTCTGATTTAATAAAAAGGTTTGTTTTAAAACCTTCGTAAAACTTTGTAGACCTATCCAGACATACCGATAATTTACTTAATGTCTACCAGAAGGGTTGACATTAGTTTATATTACCAAAACAAGTCAGACTTCGCAGTGGCGCCCAAACAAAAGTGAGAACCATGTCTCAAGAGAATTCAACATTTAAGTCAGCTTCACTGGCACAAATGAATCCCCTGCAGGGATTCGGATATGTCATAGATATGTTGCCCACTTCAGTGAAACCACAAACTGAGATCTATGGCACAAGTTTGGTAGTGACAGTTCTTGCAATGCCAAATTATTTGCCGCGTAAGAGCTATCATTATTCCTTGGATAAAATAATTAACAGACACTAAGACATTATATATAATTTGAATATTCTCTTTTACTACTTTCTTCAAAAATGTCTTGAATTAATTGAAAATATATTTTCAGAAATGTGCTGAATATATGAAATATGAATATGGTTATATAAAATATGGCTACATTTTTCAACAACTGATAAGTTACTTCAACTTTAAAGTAATTTTGAAAATTCTGGTCATGTTCTGCATATGATACAGAATATTCAGCTTTTCTTCTAGCTGACGTTGTGTAACTGTACTATGAAGCGAAATTGATGAATATTAAGAGTATATATGAACATCCAATATGGCACTTAAAATAGTTTTAGTTAGTAAAAAAATGCTAATTAATATGAATATAAAATTTTATTTACTAAATGCAATAATCCGCATATGCAAAATATAAATACCTATTTCTGGAAAGAGCACAAGAAATGTATCAAATTATGTAATAAATCAAGGTTGGTTAGCATGAAGTGACATAACTTCGGAACTAATAAGAAAATATCTAAAACTGTCGTAGGTATCTAACTGTATTAAATTTTGAAAACATTTTTATGTTTTTGAAGCTGTTTCATAGTATGTGAAGTCTTCAAACTTTTATGATATAAGGTAATTATTCATGAATTTTCATGGAAGATGAAAAACGTTTGATTTCATCTTTAAAGTTTTAGCATCCTTCAGTAAACATCGGCAATAAAAACTTGCATGATATTCCCTAAATAATATGAAATGATATAAATTCTTGAAGAAAGAGCAAGATGTGTTCTCACATTCTACAATATATTAAAATGTTTAGCATGAAACGATTCATGCATAGCTTTTAGTAATTTTGCCCTCGTTAGTGAAAATCTCTTCCTAAATTCTGAAATTATGATGTTTTATATTCAATATTTTTATGTTATTAATTAATGAATTATATAAATGTGTTAAATTTAAAAGAAAAATCAAATATTTCCCTCATTAGTTTAAGTAATCTAAAGTCATTTAAATGATTTACGAAGTAAAAGAAGAAAACATCTGAAGTTTCCTGTGGAACATATCAGTACCTTGTAGAGACATTAGGATTTTTTGGAAGCAGGAGAAATGAAAAATTTGCAACGCCTTCGTCGGGAATCGAACCCACGAACCTCTCAATTACGTGCTGAGCATGCAGACCACCACACCACGAAGGCAAGCGATGAAGACGGGAGAAATACCTTATATACTCCCCCTTTTAAAGGGCGACTGGGGGTTTTTTAGGAGACCCAATCGCTAAATCCTGGATGAGGAGAATCATCATCCAACACCCTTTTAGTTCGGACGCCAATTAGGATTTTTTGGAAGCAGGAGAAATGAAAAATTTGCAACGCTTTCGCCGGGAATCGAATCACGGATCTCTCAATTACACGCTGAGCGTGCAGACCACCACACCACGAAGGCATGCGAAGAAGATGGGAGAAATATCTTATAACCTGATATGAAAATTTTTATTCAATACCCAAATAACAGAAACTGGGTAACATTTAAAAAATATGTAGGTTGTCTCAAAAAGCCATTGCGAAACTTAACATGGTGATCTGTCGTATGATGACAAACAAGATTTACATTAGAAGTGTCCGAAAATGCAAACGGCGACCGCTAGACGGCAGTGTTCGCAGGCTTATGGGAGAGTGGTAAACGTAATCATAAAAAGTCATGTAATTGCTATCTACTACACATATGATGCGGCAACTGCCCAGGAGCCTGAATCAAGTGACATTTACACCTAAATCTCCAGGCGAGGATGTTGCAGGAGAAGAATGAATCGGTTTACTAACTCAGATAATGGCCGATACGCATTACATGTAGGTGCCGCGGATGGAAATGGACGAGCCGCTCTATGGATGTATCTTTAGCACTTCCCAAACAAACATCAGCCAAGTTGTGCTGTGTTTGGAGAACTGTATCGCTGACTGCATGAAGCAGGAGCTTTCTAAGTAAGCAGCCACATTGGCTGAGAACGCGCTACACGCACACCTGTCGTAGAGGAAGCTGTTCTACGGGAATCCGATACGAACCAGCAAACAAATCTCCAAGCAACCGAACGCATCTTACAAGTAAATCATTCCACCATTATGCACATACTGCACGAGGACAACATGCTACACCCCTAACACATCCAAACAGCACAGGCAAAAGGGTCGCACAGCCGGGTTTTTCATCGTGGATTTTGTTCTCCCGATGAACCCTCTTTTAGATAGGACGGTGTCCTGAACCTGCACAATGCACACGTGTGGGCACATGAAAACCCAATGTATACACGTGCTCATAGAAGTCAACAACATTGCACCACAAACGCTTGGGCTGGTATTATCGGTGACATATTAATTGGCCCTTACTTAATACCTCAACGCCTCGACAGGAAAACCTATCGCACTTTTTTAAAAAGAGTGTTGCCAGATCTGATGGCTGACTTTCCAGCAGGTATACACCGACACATCTGGTTTCAGCATGATGGAGTGCCTTGCACAATTTAGCAGCACTGTCCGCGAATACCTCAATAGAACATATCCTGATCATTGGATTGGCAGAGGCGGACCAGTCGCATGACCACCGCGATCCCCCCCCTGGATTTTTACCTGTAGCGATGCATGAACTCCATGATGTACGTGACAACTGCAACATGAGATATGGTTCTCATCGGCAGGATCGTGGAATCGGCGGCACGTGTCCGTGACATTTTGAACGGGTCCGTGAGTCCATGCGTCAACGTTGTGGTCGAATGGAGGAATTTTGAACATATTCTGTAATTTAACCATGTTCTTTAATAAGAGTCATATCAGCATCTCTTTCGACATCCTTTCTTTCTCTTCCTCCACGCCTCCGCACTTTGCCCTCCAGCGGTCGCCATTCACGTTTTCGGGCATAACTTCCTATGTAAATCTTGTTTGTCATGGTATGACAGACCAGCACGTTAAGTTTGGCAACGACGTTTTTGACCCTGTACGGGATGATATGATTTTATATAACATTTGAATGTCTGTCTAAATCAAATTAATATCTAAAGTTATCAAAAGCATTAAATGTTCTGAGTTTTTAGTGAATAATAGCATACATTTGTTTAGTTATGAATGATAGACCATTCATTCTCTAATCACGTTTCCTACCTTAAATGATCACATGATAACACATGTTCTAGAATGTTCATATGTATCAGTAAATTGGTAATATTTGATTGGCTAAAGGGTATTGCTTCTTGATCCATATTATTCGATTAGTGAATTGAGTGATTTCTTGATTCGGAATACAGCATATATAAACTCATATCTTTCTAAATCATTACCACATTGCTTTGTAAACAAATTTTACGATTGTGCATTGCCTGTTTGCAGGCCCTTTTATGTTCAAAATGGATAATAATTCAGATTCTTCAATCTCCAATGACACATTTTTGCCATGCTGATTTAGCACGTGCACAAGCGTTAAGATTAACTAAATAAGTAAAATAATCCAATTTATTAACGGAGACCAGCCATAAAGCTACAAATTGAAACATTGCAATTTATTAACACCTAAAATTGT